CCCTCTCTGTCATTTTGTCATTTGCCCTCCCTAAAGAGTAGTATTTCAGTGCAATGAAAGTCTAACAAGTAACAACGGCTAAAAGGCTTCCTTCTATTAAACATTCAAAACCTCAAACTACTAACAAAGGTTTTTCTCAATTGAGTGCTGTGTTAGTGGTTCATCTGCACCTGGAAGAACTCACAAAACCTCAAACTACATAAACAGAAATTTCTTGTTGCATGTGAGCAGCTGGTTTCACCAGCACTGATTAGCTCTTGTAGATGAAACCAATCAATCTTCCTATAATTCACTAGAGTTGTCCTGTTCACAAAGTGTAGGTGGTTATGTGCTTGAACTATTTCTCAAAAAAGCAACCTCAAATGCAGAAAAGTCTGCTTTGGGCTGAGGCTGAGGCTGAGGCTGAGGCCTAAGAGCCTATTTAACCAGAGGCACACAAGTCATTGCCTACAAAGCAGCTTTGAAATGGGATCCTCAAAAAAACTTTTGTTCCAAGTCTTGAAAAGTATCTATGGTACTTAAAATGAAAAGCATTTGTTTAATTTATATAGTCCAATGTGCATGTAAAACTACACTTTGATTTATGGCTTAATGCAACGAAATAAGCCAACTAGATGAGATTCAAAAATGAAATCGAAGGTTCACTATAAGTTGGGGTGTCATACATGACCGCCAGCAAGGTTACAAGTGAAAGTCCTTGATATACCAGATTAAATAGGACAACCATATCTAGTGATGAAGATTAACTATAGAATCTATCAAAAGCGGTGAAAGAACATAAGTAAAATTATGCCATCAAAATGTCACCCAAATAAAATGATACATTTAGATGAGCAGAAATGGTTTCACTAGTTTTTCCATCAATGCTTTGCAATTATCAGATCACATCCTAACATTTATGATACTCATCAAATTATTTTAGCTATTAGAACTTAAAAGCCCAAGAGTACCACTAGAAGAGCATCACATGTCCATACCTCTCAACTTAAAAGTCAATTCAAGATAAGCAAAACTAACTAGGAACAGTTAAACATTCATAAATGAGCAAAGAAAATCTTACTTTGAGCAAAGCACGAATTGCTAATTTCACTGTTTCTTGCCCAGATGTTTCCTTGTAGTTTTCTCCAGAAACTCTCGCATCGAATTAGAGTTTCTTCCAGTTGCATTGGCTTTCCATGCAGAGAATGTTCCAGATGGATCTGTCTGATAAAGGGATGGAACACCAGTATATGGATCAAAACCAACAATCAACATTGAAAGACCAAACGGTCTCACACCACCACTCTGTGTATACTTCGGCTGCAGACCAGCTATATAATGTGATATGTATTCAACAGTTACAGATCCTCAACTGTGAGCCTATGACTCTGGCACTCAATATGTGTCCTGGCACTTAATCAAGATACGCGCTCAATACTTGCCCTGTTAATCAAGATACGCACGTCTGCTTTCAACCCAGCACAGGTCAGGGCAATATGATTATCCAATGACACAATCTTTCTAACCGACCTGAGATCAGAAACAACAAATATTGCAGTAAGCAAATCAAATGTCATGGCAGAAATTGACTCTATTTATCAGTTAGATAAGCAAACATTTTCATTTTTCCCCATCAATCATTTAACATCCAAATATATTGAAAATTAAATTACACAAATTTTTAGTTGATTTTACTCCTACAATATCCATTTTTCTTTGATGCCTCAGTTTAATATTAAAAAATTTTATTATATTATTAACATTTCGCAAAATCAAAATTCAATATGAAGTTCTTCGTTTTCACCAAATAGTCCAAATTATAACAAAAATTCAAATAACAGTATGGATTCCGTAATTACATTCCAAGATTTATTAAACAAATGTCAGAGGTAAATCGCGACAGTTCATAATTGCATATATATATATATATATATATATGGTTACCTGGAATCTTGGAGCTTGGGAGTGGACTTCTTCTCGACGCCAAGGACGAGGATGTCGGTGCCGCGGACTCCAACGGCGGCATTTCCTTTGCGTAAGGCTTCGAGAGCGTACTCCACTTGGAACAGATGGCCGTCCGACGAGAAGACCGTAATTGCTCGATCATATCTCGCCATTTTTTCAGCTTAGGCAATTCAATTCCTTGCGTTCTTCAGTCTTCTGATCATTTTCATTTCTCTTTTCCAGCTCCGCAACAGATCTGTGCTTGGTTCTTGGTTTTCGATTTTCGATCGGATTTACCGAACGGCGAGGGAGAAGAATGTTTTCAGTGAATCTCTTCTTCTTCGGCGACCACCCAAGGCACTGAAGCGAAACTCCGTTTCCGTAATTTCCCTCCTTCCAACAGAACGACGTCGTTTCCTTGTACCTTTCTTTTTCATTGTCTGGGAAAACTACATTGCTAATCCTCAAATTTTTTAAGCATGTTCAATTAGGTGCTCGAAACTTTCAATTATAACTGGGTTTCTTGCTTCCTTTACATTTTCGTATGTAAAGGTTATGGCCTTATTTATCGAAAATTTTGGTGATCTACTAAAGTTACTTCTCCATCTATGGAACTTATATAGCCTCATTTATAGAAATGTTTTTGCTTAAACATTGATGTCTAATATGTAATATTAAAAATTATCTATAAAGGACGAGCTCTTCTAATAATAAAACTATAATAGTTATTATATGTAGACTTGTGAAGAGCAGACATGTCTATAAAACATCATTTTGTCGAGGTTATTGTGTCATGTCATCTATAAAAGTCATTATCTAATTTATAGAAGGGCCTTTCTAATCTTTATACTAAAGATATAAGTTAAGGGTATAATTAATAAATTTTTTGTCATTAATTAATGTTAAAAATGACAAAAGCAAACATTAATTTCATCACTAATGTTCGCATAGATTATTTTAATTAGACATCTAATTAAATAAAGGTTAACTATTATGCTTTTAATAATAATTAATATTAAAACAGTGTTATTAACTTGTACTTTTAGAGCATAAATTAAAAAAATCTTTTATAAAAATTGTATAATCTGTAAATAATAGGAATACACTTACATAAAAATCTTACATATTATACTTATACAAAAATCTTATATATTATACTCATACAAAATGTTAATCCTTCATCTCTTAATTTTTAATGATTGAAATTTATTATGACTTTTTAAATGAAAAAGATAATTACTTTTAATAAATATAATAAAAAGTGAATAAATTTAAATTATTGAAAGTTGAGACATGAATTATCAAAATTTTATATAAGTATAATATGTAAAACTTATGAGTAAATACAAGCCCAGAAGAGGGGAGATGCCCCCCTCAACCTTTAAAAAGTTGTAAATTTAGTACACATAATTTTTTTACTTTTAAAAGTTTTTAAATATTATATTTATTATGTAAAACTTTAAATTGTTCTCATTTAGCTCTTATAATTCTTATAATTTTTCATAATTAATAACTCAAAACTAATACAACTTATAATAATGTAATCTAGATAAATAAATTTTACACATCGAATAAATTAAGAATTGAGACTCTTAATTAAAACCTTGCTCAAAGATCTTCTCCCAAAGTTTTTAAATTGTTTTAGGATTTTATTTTTTAATTTTTGTCATTTATTTTATAAAGTAATTTGATTAATGAAAACTTTTGTTGATAAAAAAGGTTCAAGTCTTTATTTAGTTAATAATTTCAGTTTTTAAATACTAAATTACATGTTCTTTCTTTCATATTGTTTAGTTCTTTGAGATACAATTGGAAAATTTTAATAAACAAATTAGGAAAAAAAATAGACATTTTGATAAGAAAAGAGTAAAATTTTGAAAATATTTGAATTAATTGATTTATTATTTAAATATTATTATAGTGAGACGTTGTTTTTTTATTTTAATAAAATTATTTATTTATTAAAAAATTACTAGAAATATAGAATGAAGAAAATATATTTATTTCTTAATTTTGTTAAGACTTTTAAAAAATTATAAATGAAAAGATGATCAAAATTAAAATTTTTTTTAAAGAAAATTAATTAATATTATAAAAATACTCAAAATATAACTTGCCAACAAAAAAGTTCACCACCCGCTCAATTTTATGACTCTACCTCTCAATAAATGAATTCTTACTCACATATAAAAATTGGTTCCTAATCTATGATGTTAATTTCGCACCAACCGTTAAAAGTTGTTGATTTTTATAAAGGTGAATATTACCTACTCTATAAAAATTATTGTCTGTATGTGGAAGTCATGCCTCATTTACAGAGCTTAATGGTTTGATACCTTATCTCTGTTTATATAATTCATTCTATATCTCTTTTTTCATTAATTACAAGTAGATTTTCCTTTCTGGTATATATTGATTATTGTCATTACAACTTATATAAGTAGATGTCACGATGCCACTCAGAAGAAGTGGAGGAAACAAACACCAGGGATTGCCACTTGCAGAGCATTAGACAGAAAAGAAATCCCTCATATATCCTCCACCATTGGAACGAGGTACGTAGAGGTGGAGGAGCAGAAAAGCACGAGGTGGTGCTCCGTGGACTTGGGTCAGCCTTATAGTTCGCCACTGTGAGAGAGAAAAGACACAATCCCACCCAACTAACAGACCAATTCTAGTAGTTGTTTCATAATTTCAACGAATAAATGATGCCTCAATTGAAATTCTCTCATCCCATCATCCTTGTTTGACCGTAACGTGTAAATTCCCTTTTAATCTCTTGTCTCCTAGTAGCAAGCTAGATTAATAGGAAACAAGGCAAATAGATATTAACATCTCCAACAAGTATTATTATTAAGAGATATTTCAATGGTTAAGAGTTTTAAGTTTTTATTTTAAATATCTTAAATTTAAATTTTAAAATAAGTAAAAAAGAGGTAAAATTATGTATAAAAAAGGTTAAGTATGTGTCTTATCTCAAATCTCAAAAAGTAAAAATAAAAAAAATATAAAATTAAGGTTGCAAGGAAAAACCAATGCCCTACTCAAAATCCTTCTATGGAGACTAAAAATGGTCTGAATTAGTGTTAAAGAAAAAGGTCCTACCCTCTATCTTTCCTTATTTTCGCCTTAGGGAGGGGTTTAGGAAGCGCAAGGTTATTGCTTGATGTATAGACCATCATCAGCCATACCAAAAGAAACAAGTATTAGGGATTCAATTGTAAGTGTGGGTGGTTTGAGAGAAGCTAATTAAAAAGAGGTTTTCGTGTTTCTTCCTCCCCCTTTCAACTCGCTTCATAGTCTAATTAAGCTAGGACTGTCAAATAATAAAGGAAGCGCCAGTTGTGAGATATGAAAAATTCCAACTTTGCATGAATATCATGGAGGATTAAAATGTAGTTGCAAGGACATCAATGATCATTATATTGGGGATTTGAGAATTGTTTATTATGATCGGGGAGTCAGCAAGCAATAACACACCTACACACTGCTTTTGTGATGACTAACTAGTCGATTTTCTGGATAAACACTAAACGTACCTAATTTGAATTTTAGTAGGAAGAAACTGGAGAAAATGTCCCTTAAAGTACATGAAATTGAGCAAAAGTAGCAGGTTCCTTTGGCCCACGCGTTACCACCATTTTATACGATTATGCATTATGTCATGTCCCATAGTGGAAAGTTGAGATGCCACCACTTTGATTATATCAGATCAAAAAGAACCCTAAGCACCTTTTATAATTCCACCATGTGACCCTAATTAACAAAAGTATTCGATTTAAAGTACTTCGCGAGATATGATGAACACATGCTAATGAGATTACAATTAATATTTTTTCTTA